GGGGGGGGCAACAATTAGACCAGGGAAAATTTTCTAGAGCGAATAAATTTCATAGTTTTCCTTGTTCTGAAGCTAACGTATTGAATCTTAACATGATCAACTACAGAGTCAGCAGAAATAAGGGTTAAATCACATTTTTATTTCGGTCAAGCCCTCTGACGGAATGGCACTTAGACTGCAAACCTTTGACGGAAGGACTGTTGCCTCACACAAATTAGTCCCAAAAAAGGTAAGTTAAATTCGTCCATATTGCAATGATAGAGATTCTACTACTAACATGAGTAATTCTGCTGTTTAAGTTCCATTTAACATATGTAAAGACAACTGTAAATCGCGTCCGTATTTATATCTGTACCATAATATCATATACTTCGAAAGATTTGATTTTAGTTTATGGACTCCATGCTGAAGATTTGCTGAATCTGAAAATTGGGGAAGCCGTTCTGCGACACAACGGGTATTCTATTCGTAGTCCAATTGAAAAGAATTGGTAGTAGCGATGTCTAATAAATTTTTAAGCCCTGTCGCACTGTTGATTCTTATCTGAAATGGGACAATATTATTCTTTTGACTCTATGTGTCTGTTATTTTGCTATCATTGTTACCTATTGTCTGATATCTAGTCAATATGGTGAACGTATCGAAGGGGATTCTCATTACCTGGTAAGTTCTGTTGTTCCATCTTGTTGCATTTTATAGAGAAAAGCTTCCAACTTCGATAGTTCAGTTCTTATTGTGGTCATCTTCATCGGAGTATCAGGGTCAAAGACCGAAAACCCTGGTTAATGATGTGTCACGTTTCGGCTCCTCATAATGATTTTGGTGATGTTGCTTGCTGCGGCAAAGCTTACATTCCTCGTTGCAAGCAAGTCCGCCTCTAGCAAGTGCTTTAGGACGCGATGTTGGCCACGGATGAGCCTGCAGCCATTTATTGCTTCCCAGAGGAGAATGGTTTTGCATACGTCTACATTCTCTCCGGATAGTTCTGTCAAACCAAGACTTAGCTGATTTGTTCCGACAGCAATTCAGAGTACTCATGTCCAAGATCTTTTTATGTCTCATTATACCGAACCATCGCACTTTCAGAATGGACCGCCAGCAGCGTTGCTGAAGTGTCCAACATCTATTCATCGCGCTTCAATAGGTATCCTCTTCAAAGCTGTAAATCAGGATCGAGAAAAGCTCCGTTCTAACTATAGCGATCTTTTAAACTCTCCGGATAAATCGGTCTTGACACACTTTAGAAAGTCACCCGAAGTTCACAGATGCTAGATCTAAACGCAACTCTGCTTCCATATTACAGGTTCAGTCAGCTGGCAGTAAAAAGCTGAGGTAACGAAGTCTTCAGCCACATCGATGGTCTTTCAACAACGTTCAATCTATGGGACCTTAGTCGAGTCGGGTGCTCGAAAGATCTTCGTTTTAATTACATTAACTGCTAGGCTCACCGTTGGGGGGTCACTTTATGTACTTGTCGAGTTAGTGCCAATAAGCAATTGGCGAAGTCGCTCAGCAGTACAATGTCGTCAGCGTACTTGAGATCTGTTTTGAGTAGTGCTGGGTTACTTCGGCTGAGTCGTCGTCTCATAGTAAGTACATCGCTGTTGTTGGGGGGGGGCGACACTCCTCTGCATCACGTGATGCACCACTACGTTGAATAATAAAGGTGAAAGCACCTCTTCCTGTCGTGCTCCACTGTCGCTAATATTAAACCAGCCCAGCAACGATTTTTCTGCTCTCATGGCGCCCTTAGTATTATCGTATAGTCCTTTCAGCACACCCACGATCCTCTGCAGTACTACATAGTATCGGAGTACGCGGCAAAAAACTGACGGTGTGCCGAGTCGAAAGGTGCTCAGAAGTCGAGGAATACTACATTGTAGGATAGTAGGAAGATCCTTCACTGTTTGATTGTCATCTTAAGTTTGGAGATGTTATCCGCACAACAGAGTCCAGTTCGATACCCTGTTTTACGAATCGTCGAGTGCGTACTTCAGTCTTCGAAGAACGATTCGAGGGAATCTTTTCACACGCAGTCAGAAGTGTAATATCGCAGTAGGTGGCGCAGTCAGAACGATTCCCACGTTTGAATTTAATAGTGATCCCACCATTTCCAATTCTTAGGGCTTTCTGACCTCCGCTAGATGTTGTCTACAGCCACATGGATCCAGTTTAACAGGGTTTCGCCTGGGCATTTCAGAACTTCCGCGACAATCGTGCCTGCAGGATTTCGAACTCTTAAGTTCAGTAGTAGTAGATTTATCGTTTGACAGTATAGTTACTTGTTCATTCATCTCACAGTTATACCAGTCACTTCCGAGGATCGCTTATCCATTCGGATCACGAGCAGAAATGCAT